ATGAGCTCTGACAGCTGCTGCAGGTCAGCCACAGGTTGGTTCTTTGTTCTGTTTTCATTTCTTTATGCTGGTGCTGGTTGTCTTATTTAATTGGGTCAAATCTCTTATTTACTGCATATGTAATTTTTTTTTTATTTTATCAAAACAGTTCTCTCTTGTAAATAAGCTCATGGGCCTCAATGAGAGAAAATGTTTGAAATAAACTAAAAAATAAAAGTAAGGTACCATAACCACCAACAAAATGCTAAAATCAACAACTACTAGCAATTTGACTTTTTTTATTAGTTCAAAACATCACATTCAGCTTAATATGCATTAATACAATCAATACAATTGATTGGTTATTTGTGGGTATTTACAGAGCACTTCACGCTTTATAAAATCTTTACTTTGTAATTAATTTTCTCTCTTGTTGAGGTGAAAAAGTTTTTATTTATGTTGAAGACTAAGAGGCTTTTTCTGCACAGTTTAAATAACATAAATATATACATAAAATATCTCCGAGATGCCGTTCACCTACAGTACAGAAAAATTAGTTTTTAATTAGTTTTTTCAATGAACTTTATAAAAATGATATATTAGTGGAAACTCCTTGGAGGTAAAGATGTGATGCTTTAATTGATTGATGTGTAAATATCTCATTAGTTTCACAAAGTTGGATAATAATCTGACACTGTTATTCATTAGTAAAGTCCTTTTTTAATAATTAGATTATCACATTAATTTATAACCAGTTATTCACATTAAAAATTGAGAAAAGCTCCAAAGATCACAAAACTTAATTAATCTTAAGTTTTTTTTTTAAATCTCCAGGTATTTTTTCTGTACTGATAAAGCCTCAGACAGATGAAGCTCTGGAAAGTAGCATCCAGGTGTTGCTAATCAAATGTATGGACTTATTGATCACAATCAATATCAGGTTCTGTATGAAATCAGAGGTTTTGACGTTTTGCTGCTCTGGTTGTAGGTAACAGCCGCTCCTCTTTAAATTGATTACAGCAGCTTTAGTTTGATTCGTAAAGTTTCCATCTCAATAATTCTCTCTGTTCATGTGAAACCCAACATGTGCATCAGGACTCAGTGCTACGCCTGGAGAAAACCAATCGATCAGTTTCATTTTGCTGGATGAAAAGGTTGTTTTCATTTTTATCCCGTATCCAATCGTTCTGCCACAGCAGGAATAATAACCAACATAAAGTCATCTCTGTGAAATCTGCTGTCATGTTGACTGGCAGAATGACAGGATTCATCTCAGACATGGTTTATGTTGCAAAGTGAGGCATGATGGGTTCATTCAGGAGCTGGAAGATTAGCTTTAGGAAACAATAATTTCCTGTCTGGAGAGGTCAAAGGTCACAGACTTGAGAAATGAGGTCGAACAGAGAGAGGAATTTGGACCCTGATCACTCACCGTCAGCAGCATCAACAGGAATCTGGCATCAGGCCAGCTGGACATTTGACCAGCCTATGGGACAATTAGTAGAACCCATAATGGTCAACAGAGCTGAGGTCAGAACATTCCCAAAGCTTAACAAACCTGTTTTATCGTGTGTTCAGGTTTTACCCATCTGACCCAAACTGCCTGTTCTGAAGGAAAATGATCCTGTGCAGGAAACCTTCCCAAAAACGTTGATCAGCCAGAAACTTATTGATGATGATGATGATGAGGCAAATCAAAACAAGGTGTCTGCAGTGGTGTGTGTATAACTTTGATTTATGTCGTTTGAATTAAAGTCAGTGTATATCCAAACTTCTGTTCCCAGTTTGTGTTTTGAGAAATCATAGTATTTTACTAATTAAATTATTAGAAAATACACAAATGAACGTATGAGTAGAGGGGAGCTCTAAAGGAATACAATATTAAAACTGAGATTGTTAGTGAAGAATTTGTCAGGTTTTAATTATCTGAACCCAATTTAGAGGCAGGAAGTTGGTGACTACAAGGCGTAAGGAACACCTAATAGCCACAGGAAGGAAAACACAGGGAACAGGACGAGAAGGCAGCAGCATCAGAGGAGACAGGGAACATGAATAACCAAAGAAATCATCCAGAAGAAGTGAAGAAGAAGATGTTAAATACTGGGAGCCAGATTACCAAAGAATGGATTAGAAACCAGGTGCAGCTGTGAGTAGAGAGCCGAAGGCAGACTGAGGGAGAGAAGGAGAGAAAACAAACCGAGGAGCAGACGGAACAGACATCTAGAAAAAAATGAACTAAACTCAAGAAATAAATGACCACATTTCATGTAAGATATTTGTTGCTTGGGGTTCTGCAGCCGTCTGCATGTGCTGTGTTTGAGTGACCAGTGTGCTATATTTGTCACCAGAGAAAAGCTGACTCTTTATTCTGACCAATTATTGTCTTCACTGTTAGAAATGAAATAATCTCAGGGATTAAATGTGGATTTATCTCCTTCTGTGGAGGCTTCAGTCCAGTCAGATGGAGCCGTATTGTTTCCAAAGCTCTCAGGAATCCACCTGGACCAGACATTAGTTTAGAAAGGTGCAGCAGCAGCAGCTCCCCTCACTGTTTAAACGCCGACTGGAGGAGATCTGCTCTCCTAAATAGATCCATCTTCTCTGCTGTTTTTTACTGTTTCTGTCTTTATAATTGCTTGTCTTAATTACTGTAATCATCTTCTCTTCACCCCTCATTGATGCCATTTTCATCTCTCCATGCGGATGCTTGATTACTTTGAACTACCCCTTCATTTCACTTCATTACAGTTTTCGTCTGGGTTGTTGTTTCCTGGCTGCTTTTAAAAGAAAATCATTTCTTTAAGACATTTCAGAAACGATTAAAGTTTTGGTGATTAACATAAACATGTTTAGAAGTAAATGATCACATTTGAGTTCTTGTCTGTTAACAGCTGAGCAGACATGACTTTAACTCATCTCAGTAAAATATTAACACCCAGCTGCATGTGATGACATAAAGTGTGGCGTTGCTGAAAATATATTTTTTTATGCTTCAGATTATGATGCTTCCTTCGCACTGACCAGAATGAACCTCCTCCAGTATATGAGGGCTCATCTCTAAAGCTTCTTGTTGTTTTAGACCAACAGCAAATCTAATCCAACGTTCCCATCTCCCTTTCCTCCCCTGAGGTCTCTGTACCATGTAGGCAGCACAGCCTCAGACCCCAAACCTCCAACACACCAAATCTGGAACCAAACTGCACTTGTTTGTAGACTGACTACATTATAAACCTCACATTTTCTCATGCAGCATGAATATGAATCATGACTAAAAGACCAGGATCCCACATAAAAGCCGTTTCTTCTGTAAGAAGCTTTAGAGCTGCAGACAGGAGCTCCACCATCCATGTCCTGTTTGTCGTTTCTCAGGTTCTGACGGTTTTAAAATCTTGCTGTTGATGAAGCATAACTAACCAAAGCTACTGATGGCAGCTGCTTTCTGCTCAGTTGTAGAAAATATATATGTGTCAAATTGTTTTGTAATATTCTGATGTCAGCATCACTTTCATAACCTCTTCTGACTCAGTGAGCAATAAGCAGTTATTAGTGTTTGATAATCATCAACACAACGATGTAAGCTTCCTGATGTTGGGACTGTTCAGCTGTTACCTTGAACTGATGTAACATTTACATTAAACTTAATGTGAAGTAGAACAAACGTCAGTGTTTCATCACAGCTGGATAAATCTTACTCTGAAGTCACGTAGACGGGACTGAATGACAAAATGTTAAGGGTCCTTCAGGTTTGAAATTCAGCTGAGCACAGAGGTAATGTTTTCCCTGCAGGGCCGTGTTATTAACCCCTCTGATGGCAGATATATCCATCAACGCAGCCGCCAGGATGTGACTTTAATTGTTATTCAAGCCATATCTTTGACTGTGCAGCAACCATGACCACAGTGGACAAAGAAGTTTCTCCTTCGTGCCAAAAGTGAACAGAGCAGATCTTAAGGCCAGAGAGCAGAGGAAGTTAACGGTTTGATTCAGCAGAATATTTTTAACCTAGTGAGATGATGCAGATGTTTAGAGGGAACAACACTCATGTAAAAGTCCTTCAGCTGGACTCACGAGACATTAATCTGCTTCAATTTAAATGAGTAACTTTAGATGATTTTGTTCTGGACAACAACGGCAAAAATAGTTTGGATTATTTGTATGAACTCATCTCCAGTTCAGGCTGGACTGCAGCAGTAGTTTTAGTTCTTCTTGACCCGGAGTCGTTGTGGAGAGGAAGCCATTCAGTTTTGGGAATTTAACTTTTGCAGCTGGTTTAGTTTGTCGGCATCAGAGCAGGACGATGTCTGAGGTCTTAGTTCTCAACTTGAAGATGGTGGCTCAGTCTTCAGTTATGGACTGAGGACAGGATGTAAGAAGAGGATTGACAGACGGGAGTCACTGACTTTGTGCCAGAAACTCTTTTGGACCCCTAGGATTATTTCTGCAGTGAACTGATGCATAAGAAACGACAAATGAAACCGAGAGGAGAGGATTTTCACTTCCCATTAATTCACAGAATTCATAGGTTTTGCAAAGTTCAGAAATGGCAACAAATTTGAAAGTCCTCCATGTATTTCTCAGTTATAAATCAGAATCATAAATCTGCTGGCTTCTCTTCAGGCATGTCTGTGGCAGTCGGAGGGATGTGCGATCTATTCATCCTTCAATAATATGCTGAGAAACTCAGAAGCTCAAACAGCAAATCGATAAGCTGTCAAGCAACTAAAAACCAAAACATAAAATCAAGCTGCATTGACTTTTCAGCCCCAAACGGTTTGATTTGAGACGCTTTGACTTTTACAGCCTGAACTGCTGGTAATAATCGGAGTGAAAATAACTGGATTTTCACCGAATATTTTCTCTGCTTTTGATCAGAACAAAGTCTTTGGGCTTTTTGGGATAATTTCTGTTCTTTCAGCTCCACCAGCATTACTGTTTTTAAAGAAGCTGGACGTAACAACCAGCACTTTCACGGACTAAACCTTTATTCAGCGATTTCCATCAAGCAGAGACCAAACGGTGTGTGATCACTTGCCTGCACAGGGACATTTATTACAGAGCAAAGCAGAAAAACAAGAAGCATGCAAAATACATAAAAAACACATCAAGCATTTGAAAGAAGGGAAAATATCAGAACATGGCGTAAAGAAGAGCAAATTGTGGATATTTTCATAAAAATAAAGCACAGATCATCCCCTCTGAGTTGAGGCTGAAGCACCAACACAAAGCGATGATGATGGCGATGATGATGATGATGATGATGATGATGGTGACCACTGGGTTCTGTTAGTCCAGGCAATCAGCAGGAATCTCCCCATAAGGCATCGCTTTCCTCTCCGTCTGTCAGCGTCTTTAAAGCCCACAGGAAGCAGGGCATGCTGGGCCGGTAACCGCCCAACCCGCAGCAACCAGATGGACATAAATACCAGCAGCAGGATGAGCTGAAAACCCCAAACTTGACTCCTGGAAGTATATCATCCCATTTAATTAAACACAGTTTGACCGAGTCCTCATTTCTGAAATTGTTTACTTCACAGCTCTTTAATAAAAAAGCATTCCTGTAATGCAATTAGACACTAATTACAGGCTGCAGAGGGAAAACGGGGATTGTGTTCAGCTCACTTTCGGTTAATTAATTCCAAATAATCACTTTCTGAGCCTGCAGAGGTTTTTCTTTTCAACACTAACGATGTTTGCTGGTTTTAGGGAAACCACTGTGTTCTTATCAAACTCACATATTGATCATTTTATTCTTAAAATAATTAAATCATTTAAACCTCCAAAGTTCAGACAACATTATCAAGATGTTCTGATAATTGTGGCACCATGAAGAATTGTTTTTTTTTTTTTCTCAATAATTGAATATTGACCACCTGTTAGTAAACCATTAAAATATAATTGTTTTTCTCTAAATCCAGCCTTTAATTGTGGAAAATAACATGAGAAGAAATAGCTTTTAAACAAAATCATCAGTTATTGCTGTTAACACTTTGCGTCGCTCCTTTTTGCCACCGGCGCAGTAATTAAACAGCAGTCAGTCTCTGAGTCCTGGTTCCCATGGAAACCTTCTATTTCAGCTCTTCTGCAGGCTTTAGATGAGATAACCATAGAAGAAGAAGGCTAATTTGGTGTCTGGTGAAGCATTCCTATGATGACCTGGCCACGTGTTTTAGATCCAACGAGGATCCATTTTTTGTGTCGATGTCCTGGTTCACCTCAGCATCACAGATCCTCTACCTTACTCAGGAGACATGAAGTGATTCATCTTTATCACACACCAGAAACTCTTAGTCTGATCTGAGCAAAGCAACATTTGCAGTTAAAGTCCCAGTAGAATAACAATGTGCCATCACAATGACTACGTTTGTGATGGTAGGATGAAATAAGCTTAGATTTTTCTGGCTTTCCTCCAAAATGACCACTTGTTATGGCATCTAATGGTTGTTAGGGAAACGTTGAGACTCCAGTCAGAGTTGGTGATGTTTCTACCTGCCGTTCCGTCTCCTCCCTCTCCACGGTGATAAGAGGAACACAGGTCGGCACAAACCTTTCTGACTTGGATGGCGTGTTTATTTTGTCTTTTCCGTTTTGCTTGATGGTGTTTTTGGTTTCTCTGTCACATCATCTTTGTACATCAAGGAAACATAAATTTGTAGATTTGTAATTAGAAGGTTTCAGACACTTCATCAACTTTAAACAGCTACGAATAAAAATGTTTCACTCACATTTATTTTACTGGAGGAGTTTATGATGACAGCCAGAGATGCAGAAGTGATTTTGTTAAAACAGTATGTTGTCAAATTGAGATGTTTTCCACACTCAAACTCTAATTATAGGTCTGGTTTTCACTGTGAGTGATGTTCAATAAAAGACCAAATTATTTTTCCTTTTTTACAACATTTTACTTGAAATGCGAGTCCATTCTGCACATTAAACGAAGGGAGAGGTCTGGTAGCGACTCTTCTCCTGCAGGTACCACATACATAACCAAACTGTCTCGGTACTGACTTCATTACCTGAGTTCCACCTGGTAGAATAGTGCCTGTTTATCTGCACAGTGCCTGCCTAGCAGAGCCACATGCAGTTTAATTTTCAGTTTTGGGTTGCAAAGCGTCCCGTTGAGCTGAACAGAAAAACTGCCTTCATACCTCCAAAGGTAACAGGAGTTTGCAGATGTTTCCAGGTTCAACCACTCTACCCAACGCCTTTGGATGTCTATGAACCGCTGCATTCATAGACATGCAGTGGTTGCATGTCTGTGCAACCACTGCCTGAAGTTTTTACCAGACGAACCGTCTCCAAAGCTTCAGACTGGACGTGTTGATGCCTGTTTCTACAGCCTCAGTTGTTCTGAAATGCGGAGCGTTGTAGCACATTCTCAGGATGTTTCTGCTCTTTTTTGTTTCAAAGAGGCACTTCTTGTTTGGGTTGTTTATGATGGTCATGATTTATACTGATGCTGTGAATCATCCAGCTGGTGCAACATGTGAGAAGTTTTTTTTTTTTTTTTTTTTTTCTGGGTTTTTTCCCAGAGTTCCTCTCAAACATGATTATCGTCTCTCTGCAGAGGATCCTGGAAACTTCACAGAGCCACTTCCTGAGTGGTGGAGTTCCCGTTTGCTGCCGGAGCCACAATGACGGCGGTGGGCGTGGTCTTCTTGATGGATGTGAGGTGGATGTGAGAGGTGCTGTGCATGTAGCTGGGCTGGCGTTCAGGACGGGGACCTCGACCACACCGCAGCTGGCTGGGGAGGAAGAACAACAGTCGGTCAGCCCGGTGTCCAGAGCCAGAGATACGTTTCACCTCTGAAGTAAAGTTTCTGTATTAACTCTTGAGAATGAATGAAAGATTATTTTTAATTCCTATTTGTTGATTTTGCATGTATGATGGCAGTGGTGGGCAAGCTAATGCGCTAAAAGCAGAGCTAATTTATCAGCTATGTCTTTTGCTAACTTTTAATAGTTCACAATTAATTTTTCCAGATAGATTCAAAACTTACTTGGCTGTAATTGTTTGGTTATTGACTGAAAAAATTCAACTACACATTTATGTTCATGCTTTTATTTTGAAGGGGTGAAAACTGTTATTGATGAAGTGCAGTTTCCTTTCCTCACCTTCTCTCTGTTTTCGCCCCAATAACTTTTTGTCAAACATGCAGAGACAAAATAAAACAACACTGTTAGAAAACAAGATAGTTTGACTGAAAATACCAAAGAAAAAAGCAATGCAGAAATTAAGACGAGAGATCAAACAAATCCTAAATGGGTCAAATGTCAGCCATGTTGGAGGAACACGGCTCTGAGTTTGGGTTTTTTATTAATGGAAAAACTTGTACAATAGTTATTGTAGCGATATTTTTATGAAAACAGAAAAGTTTTGAGATGTTTACCTTAAATTCTTTCTCCACAGGATGAAGTTAAACGGATATTTAAAAGACTTGAATCTTACATAAATTCTCAGGTGTAGAATCTGAACTTTGTTCTGCTTGTGATCAGGGATCATCTTAATTTTCCGTGATGTTCTGCATCTAAAACATAACGTAGCGTCTGTCCTCAGGTCACAGTGGCTTTCAGCAGCAGTCGCACAGCAGGAAACGAAATAATAACAGTCAGGATGTGTGGCGTTAGCGGGAGCACTCAGAGGAAGCTTTAGAGGAAGACTGGGCCATGATTGCTTCATTTCCCATGTGAGGGAGTCGATTCACTAAGAAAAATGAGGCACCGGCCTTCTGGTCCTCGCCTTGAATGCTCCGAATTTCACAAATATTCAGCCTTCTGAAAACATTTGATTAGTCTGAAAATTACGATTTAAGTTGGTGTGTGCATGGAGAACATTGAGCCTATCGGAGACAGAGCTGAGGCTGTTTTCACCTGCTGCTGCCAACATGTCGGGCGGATTTACGATGTGTAGGTAGAAAACCACGCACAGCTAATGCAGCATGCTTTCAGCAGCACTGCTCTGGATGGTGACCCACCGTAACATAATAACGGTTGAATCAATCTGAATGCATGTGGAGCAGAACGTTGATTAGAGACTTCAAATATTGATCCTGAGAAAAAAAAAGGGTGTGAAATACAATCGTTGGGCGCTTTCCCATCCAATCACAGATTTAGGTCTTCGAATGGTGGAGAAGCTGCTGAAATTCAAATCGGGCATCAGAACCTGGAAGAAAGGCTGTTTAACGGACTTTGAACGTGTCGTGGTTGTTAATAAAAGTCTGTTGGCTGGATATTTCAGAAGCTGAAGATCTACTGACATTTTCATGAACAGCCTGAAATTTGTCAGAGAATGGGCAGGTGGTGGTCTGATGGTGCAGGGTTTTTTGGCACACTTTGCACCCCTTAGTGCTAACTGATGAACATTTGAACCTAACAACCTTCTTGTTGCTGACCACAGTGCACACATCTTTGTTAAATTTAGATAAATGTCTGGACTCGAGGTCGCATTTTCAGGACTGACTGGTTTTAAACAGACATCTTTTGATGACTGGGGTTTGCACCAGATCACAAAACTCAAGTCATCACTTTGGGTAATTGGACATGACAAGGAGTCACCTGCACTCCAGTGATCTCCATAGTAACCAGGTCTGAGTCCAACAAAGCAGCTTTGAGGATGTGGCAGAGCAGGACATGATCAGCCTCGTCCTGAACAAGTTGGGATAGATCTATAATCTGTGTGAAACATGATCATTGCAAATCATTCTTGAATCAGGAGTTTTCAGTCTCCTCAGTTCTTCCTACTGTGAACTCTGTTCAGAATGAACTGTTTCAGGACTCTGTCACTTTAAATCCAATTAAGCTGCTGCTGGCCACGCCCCCAACTCAGTGTTTACACTCGCAAATGAAAATGGCTGACAACAGACGCACAGTTATTCAACCGCACATCTTTGAAAAGCAGAAGTGTAGCCTCCTGCACAACCAATAAGAATAGAGCAGCTGGCTTCTGGATGCCAAATCAACAACAAAACACTTGTCTTTTCCAGCAGCCATTGTACATCACATACAACAGTAAAACCAGCTGACCAAACGTGCTGGAGCTCAGCTTGTGTTGCAAGGTAACAGGATGGGCTTTGCTGGGGTTGCTAGGTAACACTTCCTGTTGATTTGTGACATCACAGTCAGAAAGTTTTCCAGACACCAATTGACTTATTGCCAAAGAACTGCTGGATGTTTTTTTCTAAGTGTTTAGGCTGTTTTTATAAGCAGAGACCCAAACAGAAGTACAGAAACATGGAAAATGTGAGTTATGTGCATCGGGTCCCGTCTGAAGCTGCTTCGTGACGCTGCCATGCCTCTGACCTGTTGAAGTGCCGGCGGAAGCTCTCGCTGAGCAGGTAGAGGGCGAACGGGTTGACGCAGGAGGAGGAGAAGCTGAGGACTCTGGCCACCAGCGTGATGACGAGGTGGGCCAGCGACAGATCCATCTGGTGGTAGTGGAAGGAGCGGTACATGTAGAGCACGTGGTTGGGGAACCAGCACAAGGCGAACAGGCCCACGAAAACCAGCACGATCTTGGCCAGGCGCTTCCTCGTCTCCATCTGAAAGAGCAGATGCACACCTCTGCTCAGATGTTTGACAAATTATTTTTAACCACAGCTTTAACTCTCACAACCAAGGAACCACAAAGTCTGTGCAGCTGAGATGACATCACCATGGACTGAGACGCACCAATCAGGAAACAACAATCCTCAAACACAGCGTTCAGAGAGAAAGGAAGACAGAAGAAAATAAAATCTAAGAAAGGCTGGAACACTTAGAAAGAAATCACTTTTCTGATGAAAGAATATAAACAACTCCCTTCCAGGAGTCCCTGCAGGATCGATGAACAGAACGCGGCTCTGAACGTCCGATGATGAAACTATAAACAGAAACGGACAGTTTTAGATCCAGAGGAGTCAGGCTGACATCGCAGCCCTTTGAGAGGACTCGGCATGAAAGAAGCCGCCTTCAGTCATCCAACAGACTTCATGCCAGTCAGACGTCTGTGCATGTGGACATGCAAAACATGTCAGCTGTGTTTTCTCACAGCATTTCCCTGTGAACTTCAGGCTTCAGGAGGAACATGAGAACCCAGAGGAACAGCTTCCTTCTGCTGAATGTGGATTCTGGATGCAAACATCCTTTGAAGTGATGAATTCTTCTTTAAAATCCGACGTTACGTGAGCAGAACCATGATAGGACCTGGTCTGACTGCTGCGCTTTGGTTCAGTGTCATACCTTTGACTTCCTCCAATCATTTGGACAACAACAAAACTGAATATCTTATAATTATTTTGATTCACTGAACATTTCTGGTGTCATGAATCCTCCGTCTTTTTCTAAAATCTCCAACTGAACCAAGACGATGTGATGTAAGCAAATCCACAGCCAATCAGAGTTCAGATGTTGAGTCTGTCAGGTTCTCACCTGTTTGTTCTGATCCGAGTCTCTGGTGGCTCACCTGAACCAACATGATCACAAAGTCATTTACGCGCTGTAAGAGGATTACTGGAGCCAACTGAACACAGGATTAGCTTTAGCTGGAGTGGATTTTTCTCACTAAATATGCTGTAATTAAATACGTTCAGCAGCAGCTGTTAGTTCACCTCATCGGCCCTGTCCCTTTCAGGAAGTAAATCATAATTTATGTAAAAAAAATGTTGAGTTGAAGCAAAACTCTGCTGATGAGGAAGTGAGGATCCTCTCAGAGCTTCGGGACACTTTCTGCTGCTTTCCTTCCTGAGTTTCTCAGAGACCGGCAAGCTGGGAGAAACTTTATTTATTACATCTGCATTTGTTTATCGCCTTTTATTGCTGTATGAAAATGTAACTTCAAAGGGAAACCTTCATCATTCCAGCTTTAACTTTCACTTCACTTTATCAGGATATAATGAAAGGATTTGGTTTTGAAATGATTTAAATCTAAACTCAAGTGTAGAAAACACTCAACAGAAATGACCAATAAATCATAATTAGATGATCAACATCTGTTTGGTTTAATCACCCAGATATTCTTACAAGAAAACAGAAAAACATGGAAATTCACAGCCCGTTTTCCATTTGGCATTTTATTAGGATTTATGTGAATTAGCTACAAAAAGTTATTCATTATTTTAAAGCACAAAAAAATAAAACTCCAACAGGTGTGGCCTGCATTTCTATCCAGACCCCTTTACTTTTTTACCCCTAAATAAAATCCAACTGGCCTAAGAAGGTCAATAACTGAGTAAATAGAAACTCTAGCATAATCCAACCTCAAAACACAAAAACACAAAGTCTCACCAGGAGGTTTTGGTCTAACTTCTAGCGCCAATGTTTACAAGTCGCTTCAGTAACACAGGAGCTTATTATCAGTAAATAATTCCTTAATATTGGTTATTGTTTTAATGTAACAAAATGTGAAATTACATTTACAACGTACCCAGCATCTTTTTACTGTTTTTATAAATTCATGACCTGTCTGAAGCGTCTAATTAGAAACTAATTTAACGTGGTTTGTTCCCTGGAGACCGTCTCTTGGTATTTGGTGACCCACCGGGGATCCGGGCCAGAATGTTACTGCCTCCCTCATGAATGGATTCATATCTCTGTAGTAATAATAGGAGGAAAGTTATTATCAAGAGATTTCCCCCCAGGCAGAGCGAAGAGCCATCGCTGTCTCTGAGGCAGAAGTCTGCAGAGCCGCCCGGGAATTACAGGCTGCCTGATCCCATTAGAGGCTCCATGGTTCATCTCCAGGCCACTGCTGGATGCGCTGATCCATGAAGTTGTCATTTCTTATTCTTGGATTCTCTATGCTGAAATTCAGAGAAAGTATGTCCTCAGGTTGTTACACAGCAGAGCAACATCTGGGTTTGCAGGTGAAACACAGCTTTTAGTTCCAGGAAGCAGGTGGAAGTTTCCCATCAAGCATTCAGGAACACGACTTCCATCCGTCATTCATCCGAACGCGCACAAAGAGGAGCGGGTCCTGACAGCATGCTGGGTTTCTGACCGACAGAATCAGTCTGACAGGTTTGCTCTCTGAGTGACGTAACTACAGGAAATAAAACGTCTCTGCAGGTTATTATTTACATGTTTAATCTCAGATTAACTCCAGATTTGTTAGGTTTTGTGAAAATGTGTTTTATATAAAGACTGAACAGATAAATGAAATGCAATCATGAGTTTAGCCTCTAGGTGGCCTCACTTCTAAAACATGGAGGATTTTGGGACCCTGAGGAGCAGAAATGGAAACTGGGATCTGAAGACCTGAACATAAAAACAGGAAATGATTAGAACCAACATTTTACTGAAAACAGTTTACAAATTAATTTGAAAAAATAGTTAAAAACAAGCCAAGACTGATAGATTTCATTCATTCATTCATTCATTCATTCATTCATTCATTCATTCATTCATTCATTCATTCATTCATCCATCCATCCATTCATTCATTCTTCCATTACCTTCCATGTTTCCAGTTGTTTCTGTTTGTTGTCATTAAAGTCAGAAGGTCTGAACTGTTTTGTTCATTTTCAGTTTTCTTGTTTTACTTGATGTTTTCCTCTTGGTTGATAAAAAAGGATCATTTTCATTCCAGGTTGTAATGAAAACGTCTCTGTACCTCAGAGGCGTCTGGTGAGGTTTAAAACTTTCTCTGATTCAGGTGTTTAACTGCAGGATTGTTTTCTTTGATTTAAAAAAAAAAAAGCAAATCACAGTTTTACATTAAGTTTAAAACTCATTTTTTAAAATCTAAAGCAAACACCTGAGTAATTATAAAGTAGTGCCTTTAAGTAAAAACATTATGCTGATCATCTCAGCCTCCTTCCTTTATGGTATTTCTGTCTCTGCCTGTCGTCTCTCCATCTCTCTCTCTCCTCATGCGTCGCCTTCATCTCCGTCTCTCTGTCTCACATCTCCATCATTCCTGTTCCTTTGTAAACATTCACCTCCGTCACCTGCAGCACATCTTCCTCTTCTTTATTTTCTGTTGGCTGTCAGTCAGAATCGCTCAGCCCTCCAAGAATCTGTGGAATCACAACAGGACAGCCGCCTGCTGCTGCTGCAGGTAATGAAGATGAGTCAGTTTCCAAACGGTTTCATAATGAGCCAAACAAACTTAAAGCATCCACCTACTTACGCTCTGAAACACCAATTATGCTTCCCACAGAATGCATTTCTTCTCTGCCAAGGTTTATTATGCAAATACATGAGGTTAGGGCAAACCGAGAACACCAAAAAAACTTTCTGAAAGTGAAATTAATTCACCTGAAGTTACGTCTTGGAAGTTATTTTTTAAATTGTCTCACAGCTCTGGCTCTGAGCTCAGTTGGTTCCCCCAACATCTGTGAAGAAACACTTTTGATTCTGTTCAGATTAAATAACACGACTGTTTCTGATCTGTGGAGTACCTCAGGGTTCAGTCTTTGGCCCCTGCCTTTTCATTGACATGTTTATTCTAACATGTAATTATTTACACATTTCAAGCCAACAAGACGCTGAAACCAGAATATAAAAACACAGATTATTTTCTGCCCTTATGAAGTTAATACTTCTGTTGTTTTAAGTCGGTTAGAATTAGCAAAATCATTTCTATTTGTTCAATGCCAGATATCTTAGCGAGAAATATTCTTATTTTTAGAGATTAATTTTGCAAGTTTACGTCCATCAGGTCAGTGTGGATAACTGCCTTAAAGCTGTAAATAATTATTAAAGTAACTAATTACTTTTGAAACTGTAATCAGCAGTTAGTAACTAATTACGAATATTGCTGACAATCAATACTGAATAAATATTCAGTCGTAAGCTGTCTGCTGCAGCTTGAAGGCGTCGGTGATGAAGGCGAAGTTGTCTGAAGTCTTTTCATCAGACAGAGGATTGAGGCGACTCACTGAGACGGTGCTGATGTCATTCTCTGTGCCGTCAGTGTTTCTGTCCTGAAGGACACCTGAGGGGTGGAGATGTGCTGCCAGGCAGCGTGGCTCTCCACACAGCAGAAATTCAATCACAGCAGTTTTTATTTCGATTTTTCACTTTAATATGAGCGTTAAAACGTGGAAGGCTTTATCCATTAAATGTTGTTTATTACCTGAGGGGAGGATTAGAGTCTCACACACCATAAAACAAACCACATTAACTGGATATTTTTATGTCCTTGTTATCAATATTCTGTATTTTCTGTTACATTTGCAAAACTGTTGTAAACTGGAACGAGATTTTCTGTTATCTTAAAAGTTTTACATATTTTAACTTATTTGAAATATGCAGAAGTTTGCTTAGCAGAAATAACTCATTTCAGACAGGTTGAGATCTGGACTTTGACTGGACCATTTCAACACCTTCTCTATATGCTAACTGTTGGGTTGTTCAGAGGTTTCAGATCATGGCTGTTNGATGGCCTCACCAGGTCGTTGACCTTCCTACTCGTAAAACAGCTGCATGGTTTTTTTTAGGAATGTTGTTTTGCTTTCACTCACACAGCTCAAAGTGTTTCTCCTCTTTTAGCCAAATGGTGGCGCTGCAGACTCCAGCGGTCAGCCCAGTCACAGTCAGTACAATGTGATTCTCCCATCTGTGTTGAATTTTGTGATTTGCTATTAGATTGTAAAGTGATTCCTCATGTGTCACCATATATTTGTAGTAAATGTAGTTATTTGTAAACCATCAAGGACTGTAAGGCAGCTAATTTGGGATTAGCAATCTGGTTTTGAGACAAGAGGTTTTGGGTAATTTTGTTTTTTAATTATCTATGTTAAGAGTCGTGGCCCAAAATAAAGTGTCAGGAAATCAAACTGTGGTGCAGAAAGAGGTGAGAATCAATTCATCAAGTTCATTCGTGTCGCACGTTTCTTACTTCTAACATCTAAGAAAGAAACTGAACTGAAGAATTTTTAAAAAGCATTTTAGTCCCACTCATATTGACAGTTGTCCATGTCACCCAAATCAGTGACTTTTACTGTGAAGTTAATAATCCTGGTGACAGCAGGCAGATTCAATCTGCTGCGTTAAATCACTGTCCTCCATTTCCTCCTCCCTCTGAGTCGCCGTGTCGGAGCACATTGTGTTTGTCATGTAATTCATCTCATTACTGTTAAACCCGTCTGCAGCTTCTCATGGGGCAGCGATTCCATCAGAGCTTTCCTAAATGGGAAAAGCTCGTCTCAAATCTGCACATCTCACAGGGTCACCAGGCGATTGCTGCGTTGGCCGCATACGGCTGCTTCAGTACCCAACAAGGCTGCTGCTTCATCTGAGAGCAGAGCTCATTATGTCCCCAAAGATCAGAAATGCAACGAATCACACACACACACACACACACACATTTCCACAGGAACAACTAAACTCTAAAACCTCAGTGTGTTTAAATTGGTGATAACTCAATGAAAATTATAATCTTGTTAACTGAAAGTTATGTAACTAATTGCAAACAATTACATTTTGATCGAAAACTATACATCAACAAAATAAGCAACATTTTCAATTCAAAGACCAACCAATAAACCCAGGAGCTAAACAAAAATATATGGATTGTTTTCAGGTTCTCCATCCATCAGATGGTGCAAAGTGTTGTTGTCCTGATCATTCATGGAGCTTCTTAAACTGTGGATGCTAGCGTTAGCGATGTCTGTGCTGCTGCAGCATGTTTATTACTGAGATGCTAATTTAAATTAGCATAGCTTGGCTGACAGGCTAACTCCTTTTAGCGGCTAAAAGTCCCATCAGATTGTTATTTTTTGAACCCAAGAAAAATGACTTTGTCATTCATCCAAAATGACAAACAACAAGCAGATGTCACTGTTTCATTTTTTAAAAAGTCACATTTTTAATTTAAAGTCCAAAGTTCAGTTGTTTTACTACTTTGCCATAAGATTATGACTATAATATCTTTTCCTGCGTCCCGTCAGATCATTTTATGGAAGCAAAACTCAACCAATCAACCAAGAGGACCAAGCAGCTTTATGGTCCGTCACTTTGTTTGTCATCTGTGAATCAATTAATTTTTAATGCCCTACTTAAAATGTCTGTATTGAACTTAATGAATTGATCCTACAAGGATGTAAACAGATGAGGCCAAGCAGCAGAACACACAGGTGTGAGTCTAACAGAGATCAGGCCAGCGGAGAAGATTGAAAATGTTCAAAAAGCTACAAATATACAAATACAACATGGAGCATCTGACTGACCTCAGTGACATGAGAGAACCCAAGTCTGCACAGGAGAACATGCAGAAAGACCCAAACTGGGATTCAAACCTTTGACCTTCTTACCCCCAAATGTGCCTTTGCTCAAAATCTGCTGCAAAATTTAAAGCCACTGATATAAAAGATGTCTAAAGAAGATTTCACACAGAATAACTTTCATTGGGCTTGCACCTTTCTGTCCTATCTTATCTGATCCAAGTGAAAAAATCCCAGCTGTATTCTGAGATTATCTTATCTGCCTCAGTAACGTCTCTGCAGGTTTAAACCCTGGACAGGTCAGCAGTCCATCTGATGAACTCATTAAGATGACAGAGCCTCCAAGCAACGCAATAAATCTTTACAACTAATTCTGGTGCTTCTTGCTGTAAAGACACATTTAGTTTTCAGTTTTTCTCTTCACGTTTTGTCAGCATTAGAGATTTTAGATTCTCCTAAAGTCCAACATCATCTCTTCTGTTCTACATGGTTCGCTGTTCGATGGGGCTGAAAATCGATACAAGTTTTTCATCCCTCCTCTGGGCTGCAAGGCAGCAGCTCAACCTGCCGTGTCGCTTTGCATCTTCCCCTGCAATATTACATCATCATCATCACCATCATCGCAGCTGATGGAAGCTGATTTACTCCCACATCCTGCAGAAAAGTCAGACTGGATCTGCTGTCCGACCGGAACTGAGAAATTCACCCGCCTGCTGGGTGGAAGACGCAGGATGTAAAATAATAATAACCATAAATATCTCCGGCCTCTTCATGTTTACTTTATGAAGACATACATGTGTCGTTCTACGTTTCAGGTGACATGAAGTGGTTCAGTCTCACCAGTTCATAAAGAGGTTCTCAAAACCCAGCTTTTAATTTGGTAGTCCATTTCCTCTTATCATCAAGTGAGTTTGTGAATTACCTGAAAATATCTGCAAACTAAATACTTAAATATTAACTTTATAAGCTAAATATTTAGCTTGCTACCTGAACATCTGGTTTTGACTGAGTCCTGCTATTTAACTAAATCAAGTTATTTTTTATTCCTGAAGCTGAAGAAGAAACGTCTGTCGACATCAACGTGTTCATCTAATCATCGTTTATCGCTGACTCTGCTGTTTCTCTTCATGGATCAGCTTTTGGGTAAAAACAGCTGAAACGGCCCAGCAGAGCTTTTCCCAGGTTCCCCCTCCAGCTCATCTGTTGGGACTTTGAGACGTTTCCCAGTCAGGCTGGAAATGACATGATTCAAATGGGTTCTGGTTCTGGTTCTGGTTCTGTCCTGCAGCCTCTTCCCACTGGAGTCTTTTAAACATCATAACAAAGCATTTCTGAGCCGCCGTCTGTTTTCTCTGAGCTTCCAGTTGAATTCCTGCCATTAAAGCAGAGACTCTGTCAGATTTGCCATGAACATTGATTCTTGTCATATTTTCCTCTGGAGGCGTTGCAGTGACTCCGGCCGCCTCTGATTTATGATACCCGATGTGTTCTGCAGCCGTGGGCCTGTTAATAACTCAGCTCCTCCTCCTGTCCTCCAGCTGTGAAGATCAAGCTTGTGAAAAGTGATTACTCAGTCTGACTGACACGCTGCCTCCCTAAAGCCTCCCCTGCAGACCCAATGTTTACTACGGCCCTTTGAGGGAGCTCTGGGTGAAAAACGCTGATGACCGAGTCTTCCCCCGTTAGACGGAAAACTTTGCAGTTTGATCAAATGTTCCTGTATGTCGACAGATCGTTTATTTTAAGTTATTTCAAGTTAAGTAAATGAATCATTTCAGATATTAGGTTGTGCTACATTCAGGTCTTTGCACCTACACTAACCAGATATGAGGAACATTAAAGGAGCGAGCGCCGTCTGTCACTGCGAGTGACAAAGATGACACGAGGAGGCCGAACCGTTTCTGGTTGACCTCAGTTATTTGTACAAACTTCACTTGAAGGTCTTTTTGCACCTTGAAAGCACTCAGTCAGGTTGCCATAAATAATTCATGCCCTTAGTGTGTAAACCAGAGATGATGTTGGATCCTGAACATGGACGACTTCTCCCAGCCAAGAAACCACAGATTTATTCCACAAACTGGGAAATATTAAGTTTTTATTTCCATTGGTATTGATTCTTGATTCAGACAATTTAAATATTGAAACAGACTAATAAAAAATTATTTGCAATATAAAAATGTTGGCCAAATTAAATGGATGTTCAGGTGCTGCATAAATTACTTTTGCATAAATTACTGTATCAATGCAGCGTGTGATGGAGGACATCCGGCTGAGATGTTCAGGTTGATTTGTTCGTCTTCCTGTTGACCAGTTTGGACCACCAGGGTCATTGCAGAAGCTTTTGGTACCTTTGACGGTGTCGGCCGGTACCAAGTCCTGCAGTAGAGTGAGATCAGAGAGCTGAAGTTCTCCATCAGGCTCAAAGTTCACCTCTGACCTCACACAAGTTGCTTATACTCCATGTTCTGATGTCAAGTTTGCAGAAACTTCCAGCTTAAACCAAACTGACTCACGTTGGTTAACCCTAACTCTTTAACAAAGACCGGTCTGCCATCACAATGACTCATATCTGTCGTCTCATGTTCATACTGAGGCAACAATCCCAGCCCTGAGGATAACGGCGTCCATGTTGCTCTGGCCTCTGTTTCCCTCCCCAGCAGATTGGGACCTTGCAGGAGTTTCCAGGGCTCTGCCTGACTTGTAGGAGTTCCTTAAGCTTTTTGGGTGTCACTAATATGACCTTCAGCCAAACCAGGTAACTCAGGGTTTGGTTTAATATCACCTCATAAAAAGGAAACGTAACTTGCACATTACCGCTAAGTGGATTAGTGAACCGTCTCATTCTGAAAGCTGCAGAAGCGTACCTGTCTCTTGGTGTGTTCACTGACTTCCCCCGGCATGTTGTAGGCACTCTTGATCAGCGTGCGGGCAATGTGGTAGTAATACACTGAGATGATGGTCAGAGGGATCAGGAAGTAAACCAGGAAGATCATCACAGAGTGGATTTTGGGATGCATCTGATTGGACAGCGGGTAGGGCACGCAGTTCACGAAGGTGACGTTCATGTTGTCCCTGTGACCCTGAGGAGGCGAGAAACACGAGGAGAACGTGATGAAGACTGAGACCATCATAAACCTGGAGGGAACCAGAGACAGATGTCACTTATTAATAGACTATAAAGGAGAGAAGAAAACGAGTGTTTGATGAGAAACCCCACTGAGACAATTGCAAGCAGTTTAAAGACATCAAAACATTTTGATATTATGGGCAAATCAAAGCAATGACTCATGAAACAATGTCTGCTGGTGTCTCCATCATCCTCCTAAATATTTCCAGCTCTGGGTTTGATGTTCCTCACATTAATGTCCCCTGGATGCCTGTAAAAGCGCTGTGAGGGGGCGGGGGCCGTTATGGGCGCAGTCAGGAGGGCAGCTTCTTCTCCACATAAAGAAAATCATACAAAACATTTGTGTTTTAGTAAAGGTGGCCTTTGAAACAGACTGTGCTGTTTGTCCGTATTATTCTTGGATTGTTCCATTCTTCTGGCTTTGAGGAGCTCCATGCTTCTACATGCAGCTCAGATGAGACCAGAGCGCTTTGGATTCACAGCATGGAGCATTTGAAATTCAGAAAATAAAAACGGTGAAACAAATGAAAGCTGCACTTTAGAGCAGAAATATCATTTAAACTTCAACAGGCAGAGGCAGGTGGGATTGTACCTCATCAGAAACTTGGACCATTCAGATCTGCACAATGTAATGTGAAAGAAAGTCACAGAAGCATTTTTGGGTGTAAAGTATCTATAAAACCATGACTGCCATCTCAAGTCCTAAATCAAAGCAGTTAAATACCCAGTTCTGTTTATTCTACAGGGATCTTCTGTCTCTTCCATGTCTGTTGAATTTCTCAGGTTGGATCACTGAGGTAACAAACCCAAATGGGCCAAAATTTCCTGGAATTTTGTCAATGACTCCTTTGGTTTTCATTGTGCTGGAATAAGAACCAGAAACACCCAAAACATCTTGGAAAAGCTACGTTTTAGGAAGGAAAGCTGAAAGGATAAATGCAGTTTTTGTTGTACCTGCATGGAAATCACTTGTGAGAAAATGGCTTCAGGGACGGCCAGCAGGACGGACAGCAGCCAGATGGACACGGCTTTCAGACAAGTCCAGAAGACGGCGCTGGATGTCTGGATGTCCATCGGGTTCACAATGGCCTTGTACCTGAAGGGCAGACAGAAAGATGGCAGGAGAGTCAGCTTGAAAGAGAAGAAGCTTCAGAGTGTGGCCTGATAAAACCAAACACTATGGAGAAATAATTACTTGGACTCTCACTGCAAAGAATTGGACTTTAGCCAAACCCCATGAGGAGCAGGAGTAGGAAATGTCTTAAACTTCCTCCTGCTTGTAATTTATCACTCAGCATTTGGAAGCAAGGCCAACATGGACTGAATGGCTTTATGATTCAAAAACAGCAGACAATCGCTGACTGGCCAGGATGAAATGCAGCCTGAGAAATCGAGCTCAACGGGACAGATCTCCCGCTGAAGTGAGATGAGAATCGAGTGGAATTGCAAAAAGAAACGAGACGTCTTCACATGAAATCGATGTCTGCAGTATTGTGACAGGAAACTGAGAGTTGTGGCTCGACTTCAACCAGGTCTCAAACTCTGTTCCTCCTTCATCCCAGCAGATATTTGACAGTCTGACTGCAGAATTAGACTTTTTGTGGCTGTTAAATGAATAGAAATATTTGATGCAGAATCTTTCCTACTGGGCCGACCCAGAGTTGGTTTTGCATAAACTGAGTTCACTGAGCACCAGCAGAGGATTTACACATTGAACTGTGCTGTCAAGCAGATGGCATCAAATTCAAATGAAACATTTTGCTTACATTAAGTCGACAGGCTCTCCCTGTTCATGTGTCATCAGCTGCCAAGAAAAAACTGTCTGATTACAGAAAACAAGAAGATCTAACGAGATGAACAAGAAACTTGAAACTAAAGGTTCAAACACCTGCACATCATAAAACCATAAATTTGATCAAAGTTTGATAAAATCTCATTGGGACACACTGTCCCCCGTTGCTGTGTGATGATGTTGCCTCTGACTGTTGCCCAGGTTGTCTTTGACCTTATGACCCCGCTAACAGGCATCCTGGATCCGTGTCACGACTTTAGCATGTCATGCTAAAGTCCTTTGACCCTCAGAGTCACACCTACTCTCCTCTCTGCTGCAGCCCCTGAACCAGGCAGGGTAAAACCGCCTGGAGCCTCTGACGGTGAAACATCACCAAATGTTATTTATCTTAGAGGATGGCAGCTTTTCAGCTCTTTTATTGCTATAATTAAGTAAAGTTGTTTTGTAAAAACTGATGCCCGCTGCCTGCATTCAGTCCTGTCCCCACAGAAAACAAGCATGTCTATCATGTAGGGTAGAAAGTAATGTCTAATGAGGTCATGAGGCAGGAGCATACAAAATAATTTGGCCTTTTTAATCCAAGCACATTTGTCAACATCAGCGTTTTAATTTGGCCATAAATCTTCCAGTGTTTCCAGTCCACTGACCGATGGTGGCCATAACTTCAGCTGATGTGCGTCTTCAGACCAGCAGACTAATGAGAATAATATCAACTGACCCTTAAACATTGAAAAGACCTTATCTGATTGCATTCATTAATTAAAGACTATATTAATTAATAATGCTCATCATGTACTTTCCCTGACCTCTATTAGAGTCATTCTTTACCAGTAGACTAGAAAAACAAGCAGATTTGCTCTTCAGGATGAACATCCACAAGTTAAAGAGACAAGAAAACGAGTAACACTGAGAGGCTTCAGGCAGATCTTCCTGTTGAATGAAGGACTTCCTCTGGTTCCTGGGTTATGACAGAGGGGAGAGTAGATGTGACTGCATTAGAAAGCCTGATTGTTCAGCACAAAGCAGCCAAATAATGTGGTACCAAGCAGAACCAGGTTGATGCATCGGCCATTTTAGCCTCATAGCCTTTACACAAACGTCGATAGGATCAAACCCCAAGATGCCGGTTTCTCCAGGCCTCAGCGTACGTTTAGCCAAGCCGCTGATGATCCCCCTGCAGGTCCACCTCTAACTGGAAATCCACTTAGATTCTCTATTACTTTATCTTCCTGAAGCTTCCTGGAGCCAGAACTGACCTCACCTTACCATCCAGCCAGTGTGTGAAGGCTGGATCTCAGAAGTAGCGTCTGCTTTTCATTGGTTAATTTCAGTACATTCTTATTTATTGCTATTTTTGTCAGGTTCAAGTTACCTCAGTGACAGTTGTGGGCTTTTTGCTTCGTATCTCCATCAGTAATTGGGCGAGAGGCAGAGTTCACCCCAGACCTGTCGCCGGTCCGTCACATACAGACGGATAGAAAATCATTTTCTGCTAAATCTACAACTCGTGTTTCCACAGCAGAGTGGAAATTAGGTGAGGTTGGCTGGTTGAGATCCAGCTGATAAAAAATAAAAAATTGAAAGATGCAGAAAATATTCAATATAGCATAAATCCCCAGAGAGTTGACATTTTAAAGGAGCAGAAGCATGAAAACTTTCCCCTTAGCCAGCAGTTCATAAAAGTTCTCCCATGTTCATATATCTCCATGAAACTCAGAATCCGCTACATGAACATTTCCATGAAAAGCTTCTTGCAGCAGCTCTGCAGGCTACAGGCTACTGTTGGGGTCAGCTCCCATGATGCACGGCTGCAGTCTGCCGCACCGATCAGCTTGTACCTGCAGCCGTGATGAGTAAAACAAGCAGGCTGGTGTTGCTTCTTTGTTTTCTGTCAGGGCTGCTGAGGGACTCGACAACGCCCCATCACAACAGCTATTATTCTGCTTCCGCCTCAGAAGTTTCAGCTGTTTTCCGGAGGAAAGAAACAGAATATAAAATCCTGCCTCTGTTTCTGTTCTAACTAATGAAAAGCTCAAATCAATCATTAAAGAATCTCTGTTTGTTTTCGGCTCCAAATGCAAACATCAAATAAATGTGTAGTCTTTCTCCTGGTGACGTAAACGATGAAAAACAACCAGCAATTGGCTGAGGCTGCAAAAAGACAAAGAGGAATCCGGAGCACTTTGTCATTTGAATCATTCCTTGTGCATTTTAAATTCCTGAGGGGCGAAGCAGATCCGTGATTTAGCAGCACAGTCACACGGAGCAGGATTAATTCAGACCTGTGACTATGAGCCATCTGTTAATGCACTGCAGCTAAACGCTCCATGAGTTAGACTGAATTTAAACAGGAAAACCAAACTGAAGATTTAAAACCTTAAATGTTCACATCAGTTTAGAATGTAAAAACATGAAGTTCCTGCTGCGTGTTTCATACAAGTGCAGATAAAGATATTTTTGTCTCTGAAATGGAAGAAAGAGAATATAAATGTGTAGAAAAGTATAACTTTAACCTGTAATAACCCTAAAACTGGCTAAGAAAGTCAGAAACATAAACAGAATCTAAGTAGAAAGTTTCATAATCTTTGGAGCTTCATGGTCCTGCTCTTATGCTCATTTTATTTTATTTTTTATCTCCATGTATGACTTATAGATCAAAGCATAAATTATGGTGGCCAGAAAGGGCCAACAGCAAAACGCACTGCAAACACAGAAATGATCCGAGCTTCAAAACACAAAAAACATAAAAAGGCTGAAATCTAAAAGTGCTGCAACCACAGGAAATAGAGGCAAAGGGGAAAAAAAGATGAAATACTGGAAACTTGCTCTGCAAAACAAAGTCCTCCAGACCACCAGGGGGAGTCTGGAGTAGGTAATATCACCTGAGTAAATACGCTGCTGTGTTATTGTAAAATACTGCATGTTTGAAATAGACATGCAGCATAAGACACTTTTACTTTCTTCCTCTAACTTTCTTCTGAACATCACTTCTTTGCTGAGTGTCTGGAGGTCGACTCCCTCTGGTGGTCTGGAGGACTTCTGTTTGTGGAGCGAGGTTCCAACATTTCATTCTTGCTGCTGTTTTCATTATTTACTGAATTTCCCTTTTGTTTCTGTTTTCTGTGATTGCAGTATTTTGTGTTTTCTGTTAGTTTTTGTTTGTGTGTTTTGGAGTTTGCATCATTCAGGCGTTTGCGGCTCAGTTCGATGTTTTCTGTGTGTTTGCATCCTCCAGCCTCCTTAATAAATATCCTGCCATCTTCCCTTTCCTAACTGATTGGCAGTTTTTTTGCAGTGTGACCTCTAATTCACTTCCACTATATTCCAGCTCTTGTCTTTCCAACCTGGCATTAATGCTTCCTTTAAACTGTTACATCTCAGCTGTTCAACACGAATGTTTCAACCCTCACATTTCAAGGATTTCTTAGACATGACCTCCTCTAGTTCTCGAACGACGACAGTTTGTTTGAGGCTAAAGCTCCTGTCTGAGTTTGTTCTGACGCCGTCTCTTTGATGAAGAGCGATTCTTTCGGGCTTCTTCTCCTCCCACTCAGGATTTTCTGAGTCTCTGCGGCGTCTTATTGTTTATTTTCATCCATCAAGTAAATTCAGGATTTCACTGAAGGAACTTGATGTATGTTGGCGTTTCAGGGTAATGGCTGCACCGGCAGCCTGTCAAGTTGCTCATTTTTATTGTTTGTTAATGTTTTTATATCATTTTATTAGCAAAACAACAGATTGGTAATGCACTCTTTTTATTTTACATATTAAAACTTGAAGCTAAGAGTTTATGAACATTTCATGAGCTACTAGTCAACATTAACTCACTTCTGTTTATACAGAAATATGTTTGATCTATTTTCTGCAGAGACGTCTGATTGGCTGTGATGTTGGTGAAATGTGGCAGAACCATTAATCCAGATGTTTGAGACATCTGGACATTTATAACAGTTAATTATAATGTTATAAAAATTACATGAACAGATTCATTAATCTGTTCATATGAGACGAGAGCAAATAAATTAGTAGCTTATTGTTAATTTATTTTGAAAAACTAAGAAGAAACTGAAAAATGGGGTCATTTTTGACTTCCTGTGTTGAACGAGTTAAAAATTATGGATTTATTAATATTTTTCAAAAATCACATTATAATCCATCGCTTCAAACTCTGTGACTCTAAGTTGAATTAAACAGAAATGTTTTGTATTAATTTTAGCCTGAGTGGGCTTTCGATCTGAATATGATGGATAATGTTTGTCCAGGTTTCTATAGCAACGAAAGAGAAAAAGTGTGTCTCACTAATC